GAGGGAGCTCTGCAATTCTACCAAGCTTTTCAGCCACTTGTCCTTTTTGGCTTGTTAATCGATTTGCCCCAAACAAGTTAGTCTTCATTTTAGTGGTTAACCTAGTTTTAAGTTATGCAACATACAGTACGTTATAGGTTAACATGGCTGTGATGTTACCTGATGTCCATTAGTAACTAAACTTACATACACTGCAGTATATAACTTCTGTTTCATGATATATACCTGAGTCATTTTCTTTATTTCTTCTTTGCATTACTGTTTACCCTTTAATGTTCACGAACAAGATGGCAATTTCACCAAATGAACCACAATTATAATTATTTTCATGAGTTAAAATCCCCCAGATAAAATCATAGCATGTTGACCACAGAGCCCTGCGTTGGCATTACAGACATTTTAGGAGAACATACATTGTCAAGAGTTGGGCAGCTTCAGAAGCTGCTTTATTTTGTCATTTTGAAGTGAAAGTTTTTCTCCTTTTTTGTATCAAATTGTGTCGCTGGCCTTGTCTTAATGTGTCCAGTGCTCCAGTTCACACAGGCTCACAGGCTTCACAGGCTAGTTCACACAAAAAAGATACAAGTATGTTCAAATGTGAGACTATATCATGGAGAGGTGTGTTTATATGTGATGCCACAGCTAGTAGCCAAACAGCAAAGCCATTACCTCGTAGCCATGATATTTTTTCATCATGATTGTAATTGGCTGTACAGCAGGAACAACACGCTGTTATCATTTAGTCATGAATCTCAATAGAAGCATTAGCACAGTTAATAAACATGAATGTGCTGTAGCGCTGTGTTTGTGCTAATTTTATGCTTTATTTGGTCCCCACTTATTTATCAAGTTTATTATTGACTCTTCACTCAAAGCAGCATCTGCTCAGAATGATATTTGAACGATATGTGTTCTCTTTATTTCTCAGAGTGCTGCTCTAAAGTTGAGCTTCTCTGCTGCTCTGACTGAGTTTTTTCTATCGCTTGTGTGTTAAATATACATGTGGTTTATTTTTTCTTCTTGGCCTCTGAAACTGATCTGTGTCAGAGACTGAGGGCGAACAGATATCTGGCCCTCGGAGCAGCCATGTGTCCATATAGGACATGGTAGACATCCAAATGACAAACCATCTGCAGATATGGAGACTTCTAAGGACACATCTAAAATGTATGATGCTAATTGAGGATTGTCCTGACCCGTATTCTGATAAATATAATTTAGCACGCTTACTGCTCCTGTTTGATCACTGCTTTTGAGTCATAAAAATGAAGTAGAGCTGGTCTCTGTAAACGCAGTATCAACACTTCCTACGGTCACTTAAGGGCTTTAAACTGTAGATGATTCTGCCAAAATAGTGTGTGGTTGGCAAATAGTCAGCGAGTCTGTTTCAAGATCTATTTGCCTGTTTAGAAAATAGAAAGTAAGAACAGTGACAACACAAACACTAAATCTGGACAATAGACTGTAAATATTAAAGGACGAAGCCTGAGTGACGTCAGCCATCTGTTCCTGCAGTGGGCTCCGGGGGCTCATCGGCAGCAGCCCCCATGTTGGATATCCTGACTCAGACTAACTTTCAGTCAACCTTACGACATAAAATAAATAAATAAATTCCTTCAGAAAATACCCCTGAAATGTTAAATCATTTGTTATGTCAGATGCAGCCCACTCTTAAAGTTGATGTTTACTCATGTTAATGTTTCAGAGTTCTGTTTTTAGTGGTCTTAAAATGTTAGCTGGAGCAAAACACTTGATTCAGCCTTAATAGTCTGCAACATGTGGAATACTACAAAGGGCTCATTAGTTGTCTTAAAGAAGACCCAGACAGAGAAGGAGCCGCTTAGTTTGGACTTTGTATTCATTTTCTCCTTGCTCCTTTTCCACCTCAGTGAAAAAGGTATCCATGTTTCATTCAATTAGTCACCTCCAACTCTTTATGTCATGTTTTGAATGGAAAACGTATTTTAAACTCCTTGGTCTTTCAGATAGTATAGAAGATATTTGCAGGCTCTTTTACTTTCTGTCTAAAACATTATAGACTTGGTTCAAGGAAAAATAGCTGCAAGTAATTGATCAGAGCAATCGACGACCTATCTATTAGTAACAGTTCAGTAGAAGCTTCTCCTTAGCATGTCGACTCGTCGGATTTTCAAACACAGCAGGCTCTTTGCTCGACAGTCCATCGATTTCTGCACGCATTGAGCCCAGAGTAAATCTCAGAAAGGCATCCCCTGGTTTGTGACTTTTGATTGAACAAATTGCCACTAAATCCCCTTTACTTTCCTCCTCACAACCTGATGCTGTGTCAGCCATATCATCCCCCAAGTTACACACATAGCACTAATACTTACCTGTCATTGTGAGCCCCAATCACAGGTCTTCTCTGATCTACTCAGGTATTCATGGACCTTTACAAAAAAACCCTGTTCTTGGCCTTGGATTCTGGGGCCTTGGTAGACTTGTCAAGACCTCTCTGTGCATGCATTGATGTACATACATATCTTATTTGACATTTGAGTAAAACCAAAGAAGTCAAGAAGTCAAATAAATCTTTTAAGTACAATCACATTTTACTCATTGATTTAAAGCTGATGCACTCTGAGGACTCATTGTGATCCCTTTCAAACACTTCACTCTTTTTTATTATGTAAAGGTTACATAATAAAGTTACTTTTATTTATTTCATCGATATAATTTAAGCCCAATCTCAAATTCTACAGTGTAAACTGAATAGAAAAGAAATACATAGATATTGGCAGCCAATACAAAAAAACATTTGCAATGAGGTGAAAGGTCTTTTCAAATTTTAGAATATAAAGACAGGTGTTTTCTGAAAGGACCATTTGTTTCCCACTCATTGTCATTTTCTCTCTGCTGCTCGACCTCACAGCAGAAAATGAGCTTCTCAAAAAGACAGCGGCTTGAAGACACCTGTTTCTAAATGTCAGATGAGCTGCTCACAGACTGCTAATTGATTGAACAGTGAGTCCTGCTCTCCGTGTTTACTCTGGAGTGTGGTTAACACGATGTACCATGAAAGAAAAGAGGGAATAACAGGATATACCAAAGTCTCACTCACACTTGCTGCTTTTTTAAGGTTGAAAAGAAGCCTGACTGTTTTTTTTTTTTTCATCCAGTGGCATCAATAGCGATACAATTGATGCTTTTCACTCTAGATGATCCATCGTGAGGTTACTTCACGAGTGTGCAGAAATACATTTACACTGCATGGGAACAAATAGAAACCACTGACAATTGGAAATGAACACATCAGGAACAAGGCCAACAGCTCATCAAATAAACACAACACTGTAGTGGCCAAGTAAGACTTGAATCCCTCAATACACCACAGACATTGAATTAATGAGGGACTAACTGACAACTCTGCAGAGTACAGGGGCAAGATGCAGGCTTGTCAGGTTCAGTTCTACACTACAGGATGTATATTATGTTTGTAAGCCGCCTGCCGCAGCTTCTTTTTTTTTTTTTCTCCAAGTGTCACATTGGAGAAAATAAATCTGAGATTTTGGTGCTGATGCGAGTTCAGATCTTTGTGAAACCAACCCAGAAGTATCACAAGATTGTCTACGTGCCTTGTTGTAATGCAGACAGCTGGCTGCTCATCTGATATTCCCCCTCATAATAACGAGTACATTAACCGAGACCAAAAACTACAACTATTTTCTCCAAAGGTAAAACTTGTTATTCACACAATATTATAACTGTTACCCAAAAACAACTGTGAACCTAATATTCCATCGTATTTTCATACTCTTGAAGCTATCTGCATGTAAACATTTTTAAACTAACCTTTACTTTGTTGAAGATGAGAAATGTGGGGAAAATGGCAGGGCTTATGTCATTTTTCCTTATTTGATATATGTCTTAAAAATTGTTTTGAATGTTAGCCGGAGTTAGCCATTTTAATGCCAGTGCTCGCCTCTTTGTGTGTAGAAGTTTCCCCAAATAACACACATCACAGCTGCCTTTTTTTTCTGAGTTATGTTTTGGGCCTTTTTGCCTTTTTATTATTATTATTATTATTTTTATTTTATTGCACATGCAGCAAAGGGCCGAGGTCGGATTTGAACCCACGGCTGGAATATAGCCTCTATATAATGCACGACATAGCCGTTAGGCCTTTTGTGTGTTCCGTAGGGAGGTAAAGATTAAGTGTGAGGCAGTTGAATATTGATTCAAAGTTGTCATGGTTCACATCTTTAAAGCAGGACAGAACTGGACACACTGTGATTTCTGGTTAATGAACATTTAAAGTTAAAGATGAGATGTTAAAGTGTCACATTTTTCCTGCCAGTACTGATGAATATATGCAGACTTTAGTATAAAGGTTGAAACCAAGTTCCCCTCTGATACCTGTGTGAAGAAAAATATATATTAGAATACTATCAACAAACATAAAGCCTTCAAGCAGCGTTGTGTTCTTGTTTGTTATTTGTTGTTTTTTTGGTGGTGGTGAGGTAAAAACAAATGTTGGATCAATGCATTGACTGATGTGCACCCCAATACATGACACTTTTTATCTGCCAGCTCATTTATATGCATTTTCATTCATTAGGGGCTTTGCGTTGATTTGCATTGACCTTTAGTGGTTGAATGTAGACTGTGTGCAGAGGCTGCTCCACTTGTGCATATTTCGAGATGGATCACAGTTTATTAAAATAATATTACGTGCAGGTGTGTGTGCGCACACTTCAGAAATATTTTTGGCCCACATCACTTCAGGGTTTTAACGGTACGTACTCTTAGTATAAATTCTGTGCACTCTTCCCTGAGCTGCAAGGTTTGGGACAGTAAATGGAAAATCTGAGGATCATCAGCATCAAATTCATAATTAAAGGAAATTAGACCTTCAAATCTCTATTTGCACCTCTTTACTCAGTGTAAAATAACACTCTGTATTTACCAACATGTGGTTTGTTTTCAGTTAGAATGAGATGTTCACACATATAATTGATCTTTTGTTTTCTTGCTCATTACAGATTAGGATTCCCCATGATGATAATGACGTGTATGATCGGCATGTGCTACCTGCTGGCCACACAAGTCGGACTAAGATGGAATATGTAACACCAACAGAGCCAAAGAAACTGTGTGTGTGTGTGTGTGTGTGTGAGAGTGTGATTGTGTGACGTCTCCTTCATGCATTCAGCTCACTGTAATGTGTGTAAGTAAACTGATTGAGATCAGGTTACAGGCACTGTTTGAAGCACAGCAGCCATATTTTGTTAAATGTCTTTGACTAAAGTGCAGACCAGCAGGGACCAGAATAACAGGTGCTGCTTTGAACAAAACGTTAAAACATCCAAAAATATGATGCATAAGCTCTTGGCGACTGGTCCACTGTCACCCTGTTGAGTTGTACCAACTTTGTCAGAAACTTGAACCTTTTTGTCCTCAGCAAAGAGTCGATCCAAGGGAAGGAAATGTGTCTTTACTGTAAAGTATTACAAAATGTCCCACTCCATAATGCTGTGTATGCTGCTACTGCATCAACGGGTGTAACTGGTGTATGTGATTCCAGCTACGGCCACTGATTGGAAATCTACATCGTGTGGTCTGTTTACATAAAGCTCCAGCTAATTTATCTACACATGTATCTCATGATTTGCTTTTAGAGATATTTAGGACACTGATTAACTTGTTAGAGGCAAACTTTAGCAAACTTCTGTTGATATTTTAAAGGAACAACGAGACCCAGTGAAAGGGATTTTATAAAGGTTAATGTCTGATATATTTACCAGCTGCCCAAATGTCAACACCTCATGGATGAATCTGAAGAACAAACACAGCATCAGCTAGATTGGAAAATAGCAAAATGATTAAATGAAACGGATGTAGACTGTTATCTAAAGATTGTATCTATTGTACTGTGTACACATTGATCTCATGTAAACTCAATGATTTAATTCAGTTAGTCATATTTAAGGTAGGAGAAGTTGAATCATGTAAATGCTCTTACATGGAATGGGCTGCACCACCTTTCCTTTTCTTGTTGAAATGATTACCTGTATTTATTGTACAGCCCAACAACTTGAACTTCATTCATGTTTAATGGTTGAGACTCTCACAACATCAGAGATCAACAAAACAATAAAGGTTGTGATGTTTTGTTTTCATTTGGCTCCATATGACATTTTTTTTTTTGTGAACTTTTGGCACCACTTTCTTAAAGCTGAGGAACTTTTCTTTTGTTACAATGTTGGCGCCCCCTGTGGACAAAGCAGAGCATCTTAAAACAAGAAAATTTCTGAACTTTGGGTGCCCAGGACGGTTGCGGTTCAAGATCAATCAATAATCATTATTTGTTTAGCACCAATTCATAACAAATGTTATCTCAAGACACTTAAAATAGAAGCTGAAAGACCTTACTCAAATGTATGTTATAAAAGAAAAATGGGATAGGGGGAGATAATGTGCAGGAAGGATTTCTCCTTTTTAGTCCTCGTGTCCCTGTTGTCCACACTTCCTTGCCGCTGAGGTGGAGGTCGGAGCAGGCCGTGCATGGATGACGATGGCGGTGGTTTATGGGGTCGACACTGTCAGATGGCGGTGGCTGGGCATCAGGGACGTCGGGTGGTAGTAGTGCCCAATCGCCTCCCCTAACACTAACCTTAACAAACACAAGGGCAGCAGGCCATCCCGACTAACAATCCCGAGAATCCTACAAGACAACAGAGCTCAGGAACTCCCAGGAAAACATGTTGTATCACTTATTTTTACGAGTACCATATAAGAGTTTAAAATTCTGGTGACATAACAACCCTAGTTTATTTTAGCTTGATGTCAATCATCTCAATTTTCTTTTGTAGCCAAAAATGAGGCTTCAGTATTAGTTTCAGTCTGTTTATTAACAAGTTAAAAACTCCTCACAGGAGCTTTAAGAAGGTCCTCCTTACAATCAAGGTGTCCAAATTATGTCAGAGACTGAGCTGGCCTTTGATGATCTGGTGCTGGATGATACATGACCTTCAGTGGTACAATAGAAACTTAAGGGACAATTCATTTAACTTAAAGTGTTAGTTTGTGTGTCTAAGAATTCTTCTAGTTTTGCTGTATATTGCTTTTTAATAATAATATTTTATATCGCCTTTCAATGGACCCAAGGACGCTTTACATGGAGGGACCAAACAAAGAACAAAAATCTAAAAAAAACCTGAGACAGGTAAAGCAAAAGGATGTGAGACTGATGGAGTGACAGAGTTTAACGGGGGAGAACAGATGGCATTTGAGAAGTTTTTTTACATGAGTTCAAAGATGGGTCATTTCAGATGTCTCAGGGGAGACAACGCCCTGTCCCCAAAGGTGCAGAGTCTGGTGTGTGGTATGGACAGCAGGCCAGTGTCCGAGGACCAGAGGTTTCAGGACGTGGTGTTTGGGTGTAGGAGGTCCGAGAGGTACTGCGGGGCTAGGGCATGAAGGGATTTATAAGTGAGGAGGACTATTTTGAAGTCGCTGTATGTCTGTCAAAGGTGACAACTGGCAAACCTCTGAATAATACAACATGCTTTAATTTCACTGGCTGCAGGACAGATTCAAACATACAAATAAATAAATGTGCATACTACCAAATAAGTGGTCAGTGGTAACCATGGTGAGGCAATGCAGGATGATGTTTGGGTTGCTTGGCAACAGTTCAATTTCAGTTTAGTTGTTGAACTAGTTGAGTGGAGCAAAAAATAATCATCTGTTGTTGATTTTTTTCTTCTCTACAGTTTGCTGCTCGTATAACTTGTCCAAAAGCAATATCCCACTTGAGGTCAAGATGTTGTCCTCAATAGAAGCACTGCTGTGATTATCTTTGGCCCTGTGCCTTGGTACAGATCACAGCGGTGCTTTTATTTGGGACAACATCTTGACCCTGTGTGTGATGGTGCTTAAATCGTCTTTTTGTGGCTTCTACCTCTTGTCAAAGAGAACGATCTGCTTTTATCCTGGCTTTAGTTTGCTGTCCACCTACACTGACTCCCCCCTTAAACTTTAAAGTTCTTGACTTCTTAAAATTGTAGAAATTCACAAAATGTAAAGTAGAGGACACAGGGGTTAGTGGATACTCAACAAAAAATAAATTACACCTCTATAACAAAAAAAAAAAACCCTCTATTGGATGATACAGCATCTACAGCAACAGAGTGGATTTTCATGTTAAAAGCTCTCTGGTACTTCACAACAGTTTCTCTGAAGTTTTATTGTTGTTCTCCTGCCTCGTCCACAGCTCTGCTCTTCCTTTGTTTATTGGCAGTGACTGAGTGTAAAACGGACTTTCATGTTCCTTTTAATGAGTCCGGCTCCATGCCAACTAAAACCCAGCTACACAGATCGATGTGGGCAGCTCCTGTAGGACTGTTGTTTCAAAATAAAACTCTCCAGGGGGATCATGACGGCTTCAAGTGAGGAACCCTCCTGTTTGTTTCAGTCATTGGAAATCGGGTTATGTCATCCACTTTGTTCCATTACAGAGCTGTGCTGTGGATCACAGCTTTAATTCATTGCTAATTAATTAAACAACCTTCCACCCTTGGAGAACTCTACATGGTTATGCATCATTAATGTATTTAATGTGTTCCAGCAGTTAGGGTAATGAATGGCTGCAAACGTAAACCGTTTTTTTCTGCACTGGGATAAGCTGCAACTCGGATAACGTGTTTTTAAATCTAAAAGTAAAATTTTATGTAAAGGCTTGAACTTCATGCATGCTATATGATATTTCTTAAGCATACACGTTTCCTCATAACAATAAGTCTACCTCTACCAACTTTCAGAAATGTTGACAAATGTACTTGAAATTAATGATCAGGGCCACAGACAGCGTAGCATGACTCCTTTTCAAGTGAATTATTTTAAAAAAGGGCCGACCCTTTAAAAGGGTCATATTATGCTTTTTCTGGTTTTATATGCTCTTTAGTGTGTTTTCCAAGTGTCCTGTGCATGTTTAGGCACATCTATGTGCAAAAATTCAACGTCTGCAGAAACGCAGCTTCTCCTAAGTCCTCCTGTTAGCTGTAGCATTAGCTGCATGTAATGCTCGGTTCTAGCCCTCCTCGATAAAAATTTGCCAGTGTGACGTCATAGTCAGTGTGAGATCACTGATCTAAGCCCATTGGCTTGTTGTGGCAAGCCCTGCAGCTCATGTTTTTGCTCTCCTCGGAGCAAAAGTGGCTGCATTCCCAATATGGTAAAAGGGGCGTGACATTTCCGAGACCCGTGCTGAGCGACTGACCAATTATGGCAGAGCCGACAGGCCGACCAATCAGATCAGATTTGGCACACGTGGGGATGCTGAACGTGGGCACTTCAAAGCCTTAGAGAGAGAGTCAGAAGCGAGCAGCAGTACATGAAAACAGACACTTTTTTCGAACTTTAGCTATTGTGAACATACTTTAGTAGGTACATAGATTAAATATACGAACCCCAAAAAGGGCATAATATACGGTGGCCGGTAGGGGTCAAACGCTCAGCAACTGATGAAACAACATGCATTTAGAAAAACGCGCAGCATATATAGAAACACTGCACATTCAAAAGCAATTGCAAACTACCACAAATGCAAAGGCTGAAACGCACTGCAAAGACACAAACTGCAAACTGCAAATAAAAATGTGTTCTGGTCAACAACACCCTCTCCAACCTCCAACACACCTCAACTGGCTTCCCTCAGGGCTGTGTGCTCTCACCTCTGCTCTTCACCGTCTACACCGATGACTGCAGAACCACACAGCCAAACTGTCACCTGGTGAAGTACGTGGACGACACAGTTCTCCTGTCTCTGCTGTCAGGCCCCTCTCAGCACCATGGACCAGTTCTTCAGGAGTTTGTGGAGTGGTGTGACAGCTCCTGCCTCGAACTGAACGTGAGCAAGACCAAAGACATGGTGGTGACCTTCTCCAACAAGCAGAGGGAACTGGCTGCAGCTGCAATCACCACAATCTATGGGAATCCTGTCGAACTAGTAGAGGAGTTTAAGTACCTAGGTACCACCGAGGAGATTCTCAGGAAATGTCAGCAGCGAAAATACCTCCTAAGGAAGCTCAATTCCTTTGGAGTCAGTAAGAACATTCTTCTGACCTTCTACTACTCCTTCATTGAGAGCATTATTACATTTTCTATAACCTGCTGGTTCCACTCCACCACCCTCCAGAACAGAAACCGCCTGCAGAGCACGGTCACAGTCTGCTCTAAGATCATTGGACTACCTGTAAGGACTTTGACATCGATCTATGAGCAACAGACACTCAGGCTAGCAGGTCGGATTATGCAGGACCCCTCACACGCTCTCTTCCCAGCGTTTGAGTGGCTCCCCTCAGGACGCCGGCTTCGCTGTCCCTGCTGCAGGACACAAAGGAGAAGAGCAAACTTTGTTCCTAGGGCTGTCCAGCTCCTCAACTCCTACAGTCACTTTATTTATCTCATTTTTACCGTTACAGTTATATTGTATATATTAGTTCTGTTGTTCCATTATTCACCATGCACCTTAATGACTTATCATTTAGTATTTGCCTACTTGCACATAGCTCTGTATATATATATTTATTTCTCGTTTACTGCACATAGTTTTGTTTACATCTGGTCACTACTGGACATAGTTATGGTTACATCTGTTTACATCTGTTAGTCCAATCACTGTCCACTTATATCTACTCTTTTATATTTTATATTTTGTATTTTTAAGTTAAGTTTAAGCTTTGAGTTGTATTTAAATTGACACTTTATATTTAGGTTAAAATATTTTGTACTTGCACTGTTGATAATTTACTGCTCTGTGTGCCTTTGAATTGCCCCCCAAGGCCCAGTTTTTGGAATTTGAATTTGAATTTGAAAATAGGCAAAATAACTGCATAAGCATCAAACGCGCTGCAAGTACAGAAACGAAATTTAAGTCAAAACACACACAACCAGAAAACAACTACAAACACAAAAACGCTGCAAGTTCAGCCTTAAACGGAAGTGCTCCAGGCCTGTAGGGGTGCTCTCGAACTGTTCATTTAGCCTACGGAATAGAGTAAGAGAGACAGCTAGGAACAGAAAGTTATGTTTAGATAGGGAAGTTGTATCGTTGAAAGACACA